CAAGCAAAGCATGCAGTTCATTATCAATAACTGCATGTAGTTTCAGAAATGTTTTGTATGTGATACATTTAAAGACCTTCTTTTTTTATTATTAGCAAATTTTCTATTCATTTTATATAGCAGCCACAGATCCCTGTCTTCTCTTTCCTCCTGCCTCCATCCTTCTCCTGAAACCCAACCCTCACTCCCTCCTCCATAAAGGTAAGGCCTCTTGGAGGTAGGGAGTCAGCAGAGCCTGGTACATTCAGTTGAGGCAGGTCCAAGCCCCTCCCCCTGCAACAAGGCTGTGGAAGGTGTCCCACCATAAGCACTGGTCTCCTAAAAGCCTGCTCATGTCACCAGGGACAGATTCTAATCCCACTGCTAGGGCCCCCTTATATAGTTCAAACTAAACATCTCTCTTGCCTATCGAGAGGACCTAATCAAGTCTCATGGGTCTCCACAGCTATTGGTCCACAGTTCATGAGTCCCCACTAGTTTGGTTTGGTTGTCTCTGTAGGTTTCTCCACCATGATCTTGATGCCTCTTGCTCATAGAATTCCTCTTCTTTCATGGACTGGACTCCTGGAGCTCTGCCTGGTGCTTGGCTGTGAATCTCTGCATCTGATACCATCAGTTACTGGATGAAATCTCTATGATGACAGGGTATTTACCAATCAGATAATGGAGTAGGCCAATTCAGGTACCCTCTCCACTACTGCTAGTAGTCTAAGGGGGGTCATCCTTGTGGATTCCTGGGAACTTCCCTAGCACCCTGTTTCTCCATTCCCATGATGTCTCCATCTATCATGGTACCTCTTTCTTTGCTCTCCCACTCTGTCCCTGTTCCAGCTCGAACATCCTTTTCCCTTATGTCCTCACTCCCTATACCCTGCCCTGCATTGCTCCCCTCAACTCCCAGTTTATTAATGGAGATTTCATATATTTCTCCTTCACAGAATGATCCATGTGTCCCTCTTATGGTCCTTGCTAGATAGCTTCTTTAGAGCTGTGGGTTGTAGTCTGGTTATCCTTTGCTTTACATCTAGTATCCACCTATGAGTGAGTGCATACCATATTTTTGCTTATGAGTCTGGGTTACCTCACTCAGGATGATATTTTCTAGTTCCATCCATTTGTCTGCAAATTCATGATATCATTGTTTTTCTCTGCTGAGTAGTACTCCATTGTATATATGTGCCACATTTTCTTTATCCATTCTTTGGTTGAGGGGCATCTAGGTTGTTTGCAGGTTCTGGTTATTACGAATAATGCTGCTATGTACATAGTTCAGCATGTATCCTTGTGGTATGATTGAGCATTCCGTGCATATATGCCCAAGAGTGGTACAGCTGGGTCTTCAGGTAGATTGACTTCCAATTTTCTGAGATACCACCATACTGATTTCCAAAGTGGCTGTACAAGTTTGCATTCCCACCAACAGTGAAGGAGTGTTCCCCTTGCTCTGCATCCTCTCCAACATAAGCTGTCTTCAGTGTTTTTGATTATAGCCATTTTGACAGGTGTAAGGTGGTATCTCAGAGTTGTTTTGGTTTGCATTTCTCTGATAACTAACGATGTTGAACAATTCCTTAAATGTCTTTCAGCCATTTGAGATTCTTCTGTTGAGAATTCTCTGTTTAGCATTGTAGCCCATTTTTTAAAATTGGATTGTACAGTATTTTGATGTATAGTTTCTTGAGTTCTTTATATATTTTGGAGATCAGCCGTCTTTCAGATGTGGGTTCAGGAAGATATTTCCCATTTTGTAGACTGTTATTTTGTCTTATTGACCGTGTTAAAGACATTCTTCTACTCATTTCACTTGTCAGAACATTCAAGCTATATTTTCTGTGGTTTCTTCTATTTCAAATATTCCTAATTTCTTCCTTCCTTCCTTCCTTCCTTCCTTCCTTCCTTCCTTCCTTCCTTCCTTCCTTCCTTCCTTCCTTCTTTTCCTTCTCTCTCTTTGGTCTCTGTTGTGGGATATTTGATCATACTATGAAGCTCTGAGACTGTGTTAATAAAATTAATCTTAACTCAGGGAGCAAACACAGAGACTATTTGATAAGCTTTAGCAATAGAGAGCATGGAAGACCCAGGGAGACAGATAGAGAGACACGCAGGAAGTACTAAGGAGGGACTTAGAGATTTCCTAGTCTTTTTCCTCTGGGAAGTGTTGAGAGAGATGCTCTCTTTCTGGTTCTCTCACTAAAAGAGGTTAGCTTTTTTGATTTGATTTGATTGATTGCTTCTCTGCTCCAGTAGGTTTTCACCCCAATATCTGACTCCTGATCTTTGTTGATAAATAGAACAAAAGAGACTTAGTTAATACCTACATGTCATGGACAAAGCAGAACCATGGCTACAGGACCAGAATTCCCTCCATACCTTAGTTGAGTGGCCCATGGGGCGCTGACTGCCAGTCCATGTGGCTGCAGATGGTAGTTAAAATATTAGTAGAGTCAAATGCAACTGCTAAGCTGATAGAAAACATTTCTTTCTGTCTCTGTTTTTATGATACTAAGCATTATTGAATTTAGGGCCTCGTATATGCTAGGTAATTACTGCAGCACTCAGCTATATGCCAAGCCAATAAGTTTTCTGTAAAAAATTCTCTATTATTAGACAAATATATATTCCTAATATTAATCTGGCTTCTTTTTATTCATTATGTTTATTTGCCTTTCACAGACACTTTTTAAGATTTGTTTTAATTTCTTTTACTTTTATTGAAAATACAGGATTTTTTTTGTCCATACAATATTTTCCAATCACGGATTCACCTCCTTCATCTCCCCCTATATCCTCCCCACTTCCCCACTCATCCATCCTCAACCTTTTTTTTTCTCTCTCTTTAGACAAAAAGGGGAGAAGGGAAGCAAAAAAAAAATGAAAGAAAACACAAAGAAAAAGCACAAGAAATTCATACACAGACAGACTCTCTCTCAAATCACAAATTAAAAATCTATAATATACAAGAAAAGGGTAAGTTTAAAAAAATCCCCAAACAAAACAATTTGAGAAAAAAAAAGTCTAAAAAAATACCATTGTGGTGTGTGTGTGTGTGTGTGTGTGTGTGTGTGTGTGTGTGGGTGGGTGTGGGTATGGGTGTGGGTGTGTGCGCGCGCGCGCGCGTGTTGGCCATCTACTGCTAAGCATGGGCCTACTCTTAAGTGAGATTATGTGCTCATAAGACTCCAATGGAAAAGACTAATTTTTCCTTTGCAAGTGGTTGTCAGTTGGAGATAACTTCTTGGTGAGTTAGGTATTGGATCTCCTGACCAATTCCCTCTCTCCACACTAGGACCTTGTCTGGTTTGGACCTATGAAGGCCCTGTGCATGCTGTCATAGTCTCTGTGAGTTCATATGTGCATCATAGTTTTGTTAAAGCCAAAGAATGGAAGTAGTTAGAAGTCCCAAGTCCTTGTCTGAAAAATAATAGACGGCTTGTAGATGTTGTTTGAGTTTCTGGAGATTCAGAGAGTCCTTGAGGGTGCTCCAATTGTAGTCTCTGAGTTCACGTGTCAGTTTATGCTCATTGCCATTCACTCAGCCAGAGCTATGTGCTGACATAGATGTCTTTCTTCTTCCTTTGTCTAATCATTCTTCCATTCCCTTTCTATGTTATATCCATCAGTGATTGTAAGCTCTTTGAAGTCCAGACATACTGCTATACTTTCAACACAACTCACTAAATATTTTATAAGCCGATAAAGAATGCTATAGTTTGAATATGAAATGTTCTTCATAGGCTCATGACTGCTTAGTCTCCAGTTACTGATGCTGTTTGGGGAGAGTGAGTCTTGCTGGAAGAAGTGGGACCCTGGAAGCACCCCTTCAGAATTTTCTCTTTTCGTGTTCCCTGAGTCCAGTTCACCATTGCGGGCACAGACTCTCCCACATGCTGCTACAACTGTGATGCTTTACCTAGGGGCCTAGGATCCATGGAGCAAAGAACTATAGACTGAAACCATGAGCTAAAATAAATAATTTCTATATTCAAGCTGTGCCTGCCAGGTATTTTGTCCCAGTGAACTAAATATCTAACACAGACAATTAAATTATTTTTATAATTATTACAAGTTATTATAATTGGTTTTCATATCAACGTGCCACATATTAGAATTGCCTGAGTAGGGAGCCTCCCCTAAAGAATTGTCCTGATCGATGTGGGTAGGACACTCTAATGAAAGTAGATCCTTCTCTTAAGATCTGGGGGTTTAAAAAAGTTTTGAAGGAAGTTCTCTCTCTCATTTTTTGCTCATGTGGCCTCTCCTTTTGCCAGTGAGTTGTTTTGCTCCATTTTTTTGCTTCTGCAGCTAATTCCTTAGCTATCAGTAGAACAAGAGTTTCCAAACGTTCATCCTGGAAAAGTTTTTCAGTTTTTCAGGAACTTCCCCTCTTCAAGGCACAAGACTGGGAAGACTGCAGCATCCTGCCTTGTGGCCTGGATAGCAGTCTGTTGCACCCTAGTGAGAACAGCTGCTCTGAGACTACTCCCACTGAGGCTCCTGGCCTCAAGGACAGAGTACCAGTTTCTCAGGCTCATGTACGATTTGGCTGTTGTGACTATTTTAAAGCTTACTTGGTAAATTCTGAATAAATAAATTCTATCAATCTATCTATCTATCTGTCTGTCTGTCTGTCTGTCTATCTATCTATCTATATTGTGTTTATGTATTTTCTAAAATAATGCTAGTAAAAATCAAACCATAAATTTCATAATCAGAATAGAAAGCATGTGTCATCTTAGTTAAGTATATAATTCAATTATATTCTATAGAAGAGATATGTTTCCTATAAAAAGTATAAATCAGACTAAGAAAAATTAAGAATCACCTTCCCAGTGGCTCTTTGAAATATATAGTAGTGTGTTTCCATATTTAAAAGTGTAAATTATTAACTTTAATATCAATGACATAATAGATAAAAAGATTTTTCTACCTCAATGTCATTCAAAGATAAGAACATGAAGATGTTGGAAGAAATATCTTGTGAAATAAATGACATTAATAGATAAGTTTGAACAGTTTATTATTATAGATGGTAGAATTTGTTGTACACTTCAACTAAAATGATATCCTTTAATAATCTGAAAATATGCCATCTTTAATACAGACATTTACAGACCATGTAACACATTGCAATTAAATATTTCTGTAATATAAAGACATATATTTATTAGTATAATATTACTTCATAATTTAGTATTAGGCAAGAATTAGAAGAACATAATAGTGAGAGAACAGAATTGGCAGATGCCAATATTGTCAAGTTTTTAGATTTCTTTTTTCACTGCCTCTCATTTTAAATTTCTACCCCAACATTAAAATTGCAAATGTGAGATATACATACTTCTGTGAAAGCATGTGGTCATCATCATTCAGGCACTGATTGGTGTCATTTCAGTGGCATGTTCATTTACTAGGAGACAATGTTGTCCACTTAGTGGATATGTAGAGATATGTCAATATGAGCCTGCTCCAGTGTCCAGGGGTGTAGCTCTGTCTAATGAAAGATGTTCACCATTTACAGTGAATATGACTGCAAAGTCTAGTCTCACATATCTAACTGGGTCATGATTAACCTGTTTAATTGGTAGAGAGAAATGTGTCTTTATATGATCCTTTGTTGCTGGCTTAAATATGGAAGTGATAGACAGCTATTCTGGAGTCAGAATCAGTATGAAATAATAGATGTCCAAACTTCCATTTTATAAGAAGTGGATCATTTCTATATGTTGTAATCCATCATTCTGTACAATATCATATGGATATATAGTTATCTAAGTACATTGTTTATACCTAGAAAAATAATCCAAACTAAATGTGACATAACTGCAAAGTTTACATTATACTTCAACATTTTACAAAGCTTTGCTGATATCTTTTTACTGATGATTATTGAAGAAATAAAGGTTTTTATTATGAATATAATATCAAACTAGGTTTTCGTGAATATAGACTATGAATTATTATTTTCCTGGAACTTGCTTTGTAGACCAGGCTGGCCTTGAACTCACAGAGATCCTCCTGGCTCTGCCTCTCGGTATTATTTTAATATAAAAGTTATTGCATTTTAAAAATGCTTTTGCTTGGTTTATTTTAAAAGTGTGATCATTTCTTACTATACATAAGCTATATTTTAGAAGCAGATATATACATTTCCCACCAAAATAAGAAACATTACTTTTACTCATAACCAAATGGAAACATCTGACTTTACGTCTTGAAACTCATTGTAGGTAAATGATCGCGATCGTCTCCTCAGATTGGTTGGTCTCTGAGGTCTTCCTTCTAGCACATGTAAGTAGATCTCAGACTTCAGAAAGCGTGGATAGCTGTCTTGTTCCATGAGCTGATAGACTCTGCTTTGTGCTGGGTCAAAACTTTGGAGAGTTGGCTCTGTGATGCTCTTAGCAATTACTTCCTTGGTATGAAAATCAAGGTTAACCTGCATAAATAGGAAAAAAGGAACAATTATAGGCTACTAATACAATGTCTTTGAGAACATCTTATGCTCTTACAATGTTGAAGGGGCTGTGGCATGTTTGAATCTTGGGGTATTTTCTCCTAGGGTCTAGGAATATGGTGGTGTATTCTAGGCTAGTGTCTCACTTCCTATCTCTTTGTTAATAGTTATGCTTATTCTAACTCAGCACAATTGAATAATGCAATAGTAGCTATCATATGATCATCACATTAACTCACCAGTTTCACAGTGGGAGCTAAAGTTTCAGAAGTTGAAAGTGTTTAAGTTATAGGGAATGAGAAGCTTGGGGCACAGCCGTGATATCAATAAGACCTTTCTGTTCAAGTTGCTACTTTTTCCATCATGTTATTTTTCCCTACAAGCAAAAAAATGTGCCAACAAATCAGTGTGTCCTAAACATAAAATATCCTTTAACTTTTTTTTATTATACTCTTGATGTATCTGATACTAATATTATATTTTCAGGAAGCTATCCTGTGTTCCACTTTTGGGTAACCATATAATCTGCTATATTTTCACATAACTAAACAAACACCCTTTCCTAGAGCAACATATCCATGTAGAGAGCATTGCTTTATAGACTATGTAGTAACTTTGGTTTTTAACAATTTCCCACAAAGTTGTTAATATAATTATAATAATCAAGTTTTGGTTGCCACCCTGTGGCTCTATTGGACAGTGACGGAATCCTTAGGATGTAGTGGAAAGAAGTAAGGTTATTGAAGTCCTGCATTGAGGGGTTACTGGAATTCTGATCTCTCTCCCTTGATCCCTTTCTGTCGTCTCCCATTTCCTGCCTCCCTCTCTTTATCTGCAGACACTATAAATTCAGCAAGTTTCTCTGACATACCATTTCTGCCATTACATAGAATTTTGCTATAGTACCCAAATCAACAGGACCATGTGTGCCCTGAAATGTGAGACAAAAACGTTTTCTTTTCTTCTTTCCTTAATTTGAATGATCTTAGGTATTTGTCTCATGACCAAAATGTAGAACAATAGTAATAACTTGTAGTTGAACAGTGAGAGAGCATCTGTTCTACCCTGAAAGTGGAAATACTACTTATTGAATACAGACTAGAAACTTCAAACCATTTAATATTTTATGGCAGTCAAATAATAGCTGCTAAACTATATCAGTTTACTGACTATACCATAGGATCAACTTAGTTAGCTATAATCAAAATAAACAACAATTGTTTTTCACTTGAAATACTGCCAAAGTGGAGTCACATTCTTTGTCTATTAAATATCTTTTTTTAGCCTATTCCAAACTGATGAAGTAATTCCTTTGGACAAAGAAAACTTCTTGTAGGTAGAAAAGATAAAATTATTTTCAAATTTTATTTATTATTTTTGGGACATGCACGCCCCAGAATAGTGTGAAGATCAGAGAACATCTTTGCAGATTTGGTTCCCTTTTTTCACCAGGTGGGGGCTGGGCATTGAACTCCAGTCTTCTGGCTTGGAGATAAACGCCTTTAACCACCTTTAATGCTGCTGGCTCAGTATAACCTTGTAAAGTACTACATAATTTTTACATGGTATTTTACATGTGTGTTTGTCTTGTTATCACCTTCAGAAATCTTTAGTTTCTAATAAGTAGTTGTTTCTGCTAATATTGTTAATACAGATTATAGAAAGGATCCGAATGTTGCAACTTTATTTACTCTTGGTCTAACTTTGAACATTGGCCTTATACTTTTCACCCATGATAATGTTATATTATGTCAAGAGGTAGACATCTGCAATTCACCAGTTTCACTTTAATGAAATCTTGAGGTCTCTTGTGGAATGAATGAGGTGGCCACCTTGGTGAAAACAGACACTGTGAAAATGTTACATGTGTTTTCCATCATCACTGTACCTCTTTGGGAGCATCATTCTTAATGAACTTCTCATATATTGCTTTGGCTTTTAGGATGATTTGTTGAGGTTCCTTGCATTTCTTGAAATCTTCACAGGCTACCCAAAATTCAATGTTTTCCTCACTGAATTCAGTTTTAAGAAATCTAGTAAAAGCATCCAGTCCATCTACCAAAAAACAAATAATATTGTGTTACTATGAAACAGTCATGGTGGGAAAATGCCCTGCTTGATATTAAAGCATACACAAGAACTAACAGTAGAAGTTATTGTCCTTCTAATTCTACATGGCCCCACCACATATTTAACCAGTATGTGTGGAGGGCTTCACATAAAACAACTTTTTGAGCAAATTGAAAGGAGGACATTGTTTCTATGAAATAAGGGTAAATCATACTTAGATCTAAATTCTTAAATCTAAAAGTAAAAAGAACCATCCTGTACAACACAATTTACATCTCATCTATTCATGTCTCAGAGGGATTATTCTGTAAACTTCTGAAGTCTTTCTCGTGGATTCCATTCTAACCCACTACCGGATCATGCTTCATGTACTGGGGACCCTGAAGTTCTCTTTCCATTGTCTCTACATATCCAAGTTCTACATGGTCTTCTTTTCCCACATCTGTCCACCAAATTCACACTGCCTGCCAGTCCTGAGTATGAACAGGCTTAAATGCTCAGGCCTCACATATTCCAGGAGACTTCTCACATGCTTCCGAGGAAATAATCCATGATGGAAAGAGAATGAAATAAAGTACATTTAGTCTTATGTAGTTGTGAAAATTGTAAAGAATATAAAATCAAATAATATCTTCTGAATATTGTATGAAGTATATATTTTAAAATTAAAATAATAAGACACATATGTAAATTAACAACTTGACCTATATCATGGAAACTTTTAAACACAGGAGGCTGTTTTTATCCTTTTTCCTTTACACCATAAGTGTTTGGGTCAGTCAATAAGTTATAAAAAATTACCTTGACTCAATATTATGTTCACCTACCTCCTATGTGTCCTTGAATGGATTTTTTCTTCATTCAATTAAGTTTCTCTATATTTAAAGTTAAAAATATGATATCTACATAACAAGGCCAACCAGTGAATTAAATGTGTTGACATATGCAAAGTGCTAAAAAAAAGTGGCTGGTGCATGGTAACTACTCCATTATGGTGGTGGTGGTAGTGGTAGCAATGATGAGGATGATAATATTTTTGATCATTGTCAGTAATTTATGCTCAACCATGTAAAACTTCTGTAGGTAAAGGTAACAAACTTTAGATTCAACTCTAAGACATTTTGATTTTCAACTTCTGTTTTTTCAACTACTTTGGCTATTCTTTCTTTTTCTGGTCTACGGAATTTTTTTTTTTTAACTGAGGTTATTGGCTGGAATGGGAGGATCGAATGGAAAGGCACTATTGTTGAAGACAACACCTACATAATACATTGAATATGGAAAAGTTGAGTCAGTGTCTACCTAAAGCTTTTACCCATACTAGCTAGTGTTCTTGATACCAGAAGCAGTGTGTACTGCATACTACTGTTGTAGGGTATATGATCACAATGTGACCCTAAAATTGTGTTAATTAAGTAAAACCTAGGGTCAAGAGGCAGAGCCAACAACTAGTTGACAAGAAGTAGTCCT